GCTGAAGTTTAAACCTTTCCCTTAGGTCATAGGTCCCACCTACTGTGCATTTGAATAGTAGATTTCTCTCACCAAAGGGAACTAGCAGATTTGTGGGTCAGGCAACATGCAAAAGAGAACAGGCAGAAATAATTAGAGCAACTTGAATAGGAAGGTGTTGTTACACCCTCCTTACCCAATTTTGGGTAAGACAAAAATCAGAAAAAATCTGACCATACCATTTTCGATAAGGGACATATGAAGGGAAGGAGCACATCAAAGTGAGAGCCTAGGAAGGCAAAGGGGTAGAGAAAAATGCATAGGTTTGAGCTAAACAATCAGGAAAATGGAGAGCAGGTTCATCAAAAAAAGCTATAAAGGAGAAAAAGCAAACCCTACTCCTCATGCAAAACCCACTATTCAAATGTACAAAGAATGTAACCTATCACTTACCTCTCCATGAAAAGAGGGGCCAAGCAAACTTCAAAACAAAAAGGAACTTTAATTACAATAGAAAGTAGAATACTTTGGCTACAAATCAGTGGTATGCTGGACACTATAAAGAACTAACATCTTTAGGGGATCTGAGCAACTGTTAAAACAAGTGTTCCTTATGTTAGGGAAAGCAGTTTACACTAAAAGTACAGAAACACCAACTTCCCAGGAGTTTTCTTCTTTTGGAGGAGGGAGGGAGAAATAGGGCAATCTGAGAGCATTAGACTCCTTCGAGTTTTTCAAGGTTACAGTTGAGATTTTCATGTTCACACATGATTGGGAGAAGAGAATTTACTACTTAAGTTCTTGTTTAAAGCAAGATTCCCTTCAAGAAAATCCGATAGTCATATAAAAAGGCATAAAAAAAGGAGAATAATACTTTCTGGAAGAAAAATATTTTCCTATTTAAAAAACTGGAATGGAATACAAAATATTTATAATTTAATAAATTTAACCTCAAATTGTGAGAGGTATAATTTGAATAGATATTTCTTAAATTCTACTTCAATGTGCCTTTTGATTTAGCTTAGGACTAAAGGTGGCTATGTAGCCGTAGAGAAGCCATAAGAATACAGTAAGTAAAGGATATATACTACTTATTACTTGAAGGATAGCTTCTAAAAGCCAAGTACAGCTAGGAAAACGGGTAGAAAAAAAAATCTTAAATTACTCTGGAATCTACCAACAGAAGTCACAGTGGTTGTAGAAAACTTCACCTCCACCAAATTCAAAGCTCTTTTCAAGTATGTCAGTTCCAGGACAAGGTCTCGAGTTGTTGGGCATCCAAAAATCAAATCCATAGTACACTCTGTTAGACTTCTGGAGTAAAAAAGCCTTGATCTGTTTCATTTTTCAGTATGTGAACGTGACTAAAGTTAAAATGTGTTTTCTCATTTCTCACCAATCCTGCATTTACTTTCTAGGTAAAAATGAAAACTGTATTTCCCAGACTCCCTTGTACTTTGGCCTGAACTAGCCACAGGGCCTTAGCCTATGTAACATGGGCAAAAATGATACATCTACTTCTAAGCTTAGCTCCTAAAATCTCCAGAAAGATCCATAGCCCCTCCTTCTCTCTCGACTTGCCAACAGGCACAGAGGACTCGAAGGCAGCAGGAGGACAGTGGCGCCACAAGACAAAAGTTTACAATCCCTAAGTCAGCACTTGGAGAATAGCTGAATCCTTAAAACACCATTTTGTGAAGGGTCGACCTGGAGAGCTGCTCAACCCCTGACTCCCCCATTTGACCCTCACTCCTCTCTGAGAAAGCCGAGTGAGAAACTTTTATTAAATTCACACACTGAGATTTCTGAGGTCATAACACACCCCAAATACATCTCTTCTCCTATCTATCTCAGAGAGTACAAATCCAAACGAGATAGAAGAAATAAAATTTTTATCAGGATGAAGTTTTATAACATGGCAAAGATAATACTAATGGAATTCAAACCAGATTAAAGACTATGCAGTTTTTCAAAAACTACAGATCTACAGCACTAATAACAATATATAAATCTTACCTAATAAGAGCCAGAAAACGAGTCAATTTCTTCATATTAAAAATCACCAGGCTGCTAATTTACAAGCAAAAATTGCTTATTTCTTCAAGGTATTTAATTCTTTAGGAAAGTGGCAGGATTACTCATTAAAACAAAATAATAGAGTCAAGTGCCACTTCAAACCTTCCATTCCAAAAGAGGAAGAGGTAGATGAGACACGGACAAAAATTAATTTATAGGATATAAAAAGAGAAGCCATAATGGTGAAAAATATAAACATTTATTCATAATTTAAAGATATTTACTACTGAAATAAGTATTAAGATGATATATACAGAAAAGAAAAGAAGCTTCTTCCGTCAGACTCATAATTAAGTAAGTCATGTGGTTAATACACACACAGGTTAATACACATCTATTCACCTGAATAGTTCTATTAAATAGTTCTATTCAATGTGGTAACTCCCAAGCCATCCTACACTATTCATAATTTAAAAGTCCTCAAGAGCCTCTTCCCTTAAATTCCTTTAAGCATTTTACAGCCAATAAGAATGGCCTCAGGTATTTCTTTCATCAACTCAGCAGCATCAAATGGTTTAAAATGCAAACTGTTATTTCTAATCAATAAATATTTATATAAGCAATCTATAAGGAATTTTAGATTTTCCCAATATTAAGTTTCTAAAATTATCACAAAAGTTTGATAAAACAATAATTATCCCCAAATGGTAAAGTTAATTATCTTATTCAATGGAGTTAGGAAACAAGATTTAGCAATTTGGTTTCATAACCTAAAAATTTCAGAATTAACATTAAAGAAAGGTAGATGATCTTAAAAACACAAAACAGGGAGGAAATGTGACTATAGAAGAAAAGTAACTATTACTAGAAATTCTGATTGGTACCCTTAGAACCTGATTTGGAATTTGAGAGAGCATTAATTAAAATTTAATGTTTACAAAAGTAAATCAAGAATATTAAAAAAATCAACTTCATATTTATTTTTAAAGATTGAACTCCTCAAATTAGTGTGTATATTTGACACAAACTTGTCAAAAAGTAAAGATTTAAAAATACATTCTTCTAATATTAACAGAGAAGAGAATCAGATTTTAAGTCTTTCAGTTTTTGCCTGTGAATGTTTTATAGAAATAAATGAAAAAAGCAAGTTATGTACAAACATGGAAATTGTCTATACAGTTAAATGGGACAAAATTGCTAAGATCTCTACAGCCAAAAGAGAACTAGAAGTTTCATGGGAGACTCATCATAAATGTCTAGAAATGTGCAATGTATTTTATTTACTTTATTAATTCAGATTCCATTTATTTAGATTAATAATAATTTGCTCAGCTGATGTTTACTCTTTCATGATCTATGACAAGGGGTTTTTGCTAAGCAGAAAAAAAAAAGTAAACAAGATTACACAAGGCAAAACAAGTAATCTAGTTATAGATTAGTGTTAGGGAAGGTCTGTCCCACAGGCCATATAAGGCCCTTGAAATCATTTGGTCTGGCCCTACCAAGGCATTTGGAGTGAACTGATTAAATATTTGATCGAACAGAGCAGGCTAATTTTTAAGTTGATAATTTTGTATGGCCCGTAAATTATGTCATAAATATCCAAATGGCCCTTGTCAGAAAAAAGGTTCCCCACCCATTATAGATGATTGATTTTTTTCACTTATAAATAGCTCTGATAGATGCTTTCAACTTCACTAAAACTTCAGTCATTATTTATTTTGCTAATAAAATATACACTCTCAAATAGCTGATCTCATACTTTACACACAACATCAAAAAAATTTTAAGCAACCTGAATAATATTTTCTATATTTAAACACTAATATGGACAAAGTATAAGCATACAAATTATTTAATATAAATAATTAAAACTAGAAAATAAATTCTATGGAGAAAATTTAAGGGTTTTTTTTGATAGAATGGTCCTGAATTAAAGGCTTATTATTTATCTTGCAGAACACAAAATCATTAGAAAGAGCTATCCATTGTTTCCTAACTTCTAAAGGTCTAAACAAAAGTCTCAATAACAGAATTTGGTTATTTATTGGAGATGAGTTATTGGAGTAAAATTATAGTCATGGTACCAAAACTATAACTTACCTTTCATAATTACATAGGATTTTGGCATGTATTTCTACATGCAGAGTTTTCCTGATTTTGCCACGCTATATGTCCTATACTTCTTTACTTTTGACTTTATTGTTTTACTGTACAAATTTCAGCAAGGCAACTTAGCTCCTTTGTAAAGGAATGAGGACAGTAGTAAGCTTATAGTGCAGTAGACAAATTAAATCCTACAAAATTCTTCACCTGCTCCTTGTTAAATTAAAGTTCAAAATTCTCTGCGGTAAAAGAACCCCTAACTCCAGTGATGGCGAACCTATGACACGCATGTCAGAGGTGACACGCGAACTCATTTTTTTGGTTGATTTTTCTTTGTTAAATGGCATTTAAATATATAAAATAAATATCAAAAATATAAGTCTTTGTTTTACTATGGTTGCAGATATCAAAAAATTTCTATATTTGACACGGCACCAGAGTTAAGTTAGGGTTTTTCAAAATGCTGACACGTCGAGCTCAAAAGGTTCGCCATCACTGCCTAACTCATAGTAAACTCTCAGCTGAGTCACTAATAATAGGTCATGTGAAAATATTTAAGCACTGCAATTTATAGTCTCATTCTTTTGTTGATGAACCTTTAAAAAAGGTAACTAGAAAAGTTATGTGGTATTTTCAGTGGCCAGGACAAAAAGGGACAGGGAAGGGAGGTGGGGGGTGGTATCAAACTCTTGACCATGAGACCCTATTACCTCTGTGTTAAACAGGTAAACTACGAATATCTCAAGAAAAATAAGGAAGTTAGATTTTTCTCATAACTTTCCTTTGTCGTGTTTTTAGAAAATAGGAATTAGCATTTAACTATCTAGGAAGTTAATCAGCCTGGTAAATTAAAAAGAGATTTGAAAGTGCTACTCACCATCAGCCTATACTTGACTTACCTGCCATTACAGAGTAGCCATCTAGCAAGAGAATAGTGAGGTACAATCTTCTGCATGAGGCTGGCCATCACCATGGTAACAACCAGCTGTATACCTATTACACCCTGTGTAAAAAAATAAATAAATAAATTTAACAATAAATGAAGTTAGATTTGAGAACAAAATGGAAAACTATCTACTTTGACAATGATACTCTATAAGAAAGAGGAGTTGCTATTAAAATATGTATTAATCTGGCATTTAGGCATTCAAGACCCATATGTTTAAACTTAAAACATGCAATCACATCTTATAATCCTCTATGAGTTACCCAAGTTTCACAAAAGTTAAATGAATTAGCATATACATTCAAAATATATTCCCAAGAAATGTTCTCCATTATGTAAGGGTATCAAAATGAAGTAAAATTAGTAATATTTTTATCCTCCTCCAAATTCACTGTTCAATACACATAAAATACCAGCTTGCCACGCTTTCAAAGCAGTATGCCTATTTTTTTATTCTACAGTGGTAGTGAACGATTAAAGAGTATTAATTATATTAAGTGTGATATGTCAAGATTGGCCTGAAAGTCACTAGAAAATAATTTTAATTCATGCTGTCATCACGAACTTCCAGTGAGTGGGCCTTCAACAGCATCCAAAACCCCTTAGTCTGGTCTCATCAATCCCTCTCCTGTTCTCCATGATAGCTAAAATTCAAACCTTCGCCCCTCTTCACACCTCCAACCTGCCTCAAACTTGTAACTCCCTAGTTCGCAGAGGATGTGTATTTCACAGAGAAAATACACAACATCAAATGTGAACTCTCACTTGCCACCAAGCTCACAATCACTTGTATCTACTCTAGATTTTTTTTTCCACACCCACCAGAAATAGAGCATTTCTACACAAAGCAAATCCCCTACATCTGTGCTTCATATCCCATCCTCTCTTTGATTTTCAGAAACCTCAACCACTGAGTAGCTTCCTTCCTGCATCTTCTTTAATCTCTTCTCTACTTACATCCTTGCTATCAGCACTGCAACACCTCCAAGACTTTTTATCCTTCCAAAAAATATAACTATTTTCCTTTATAGTCCTCCTGTCTCCTCAGATTCACAACCACTTTTCAAAAGACTTATTCTCACTGCTTCTACTACATTCTCATACCTCCCCATAGTTAACATCTGACTTCTGCTTCATTTCATTCCATTGAAATACCTACCATCAAAATCACTTCACCTTGCCAAATTATATTTCCTTATCTTAAATATCAGCAATTTCCCGCAAGGTCTTCCACATCCATCGCTTTACTCCCACCTTGATGATCAATTCTTTATACTCCCTTTTGGTGGCATCTCTATCCTAGCAGTCCAAAAATAAGGTTGAATTCTGACCTCAAACTTAATTTACCAAACAAGTACATAAAAAATATGTTTAAAAAGCAGAATAGTATATTTTGAGAGCATGAATTCTGGACCCAAACCACCTGGGTTAGAATTCACCATCTATTGTTTTATTTTGAACAGGTAATTTAAATATTTTGTACCAGTTTCCTTTTGTATAAAATGAAGCTAATAATTCAATCTATCTAATCAAGCTGTGATTAGGAATAGTGCCTGGCACAGAGTAAGAAATCAATGGGTTACTACTATTTGCTGTTATTGTTACAGTTATCACTATTATTATAGGAAAACATTTGTTTTTAACATAAAGAATAAAGTCTTTAAAAAATATCAGAAATAAGTTGAAATAAGTTGAAAAAAATCAAATTTAATTGTAACAAATGTACTACTGTGGTGTAGGATGTCCATAGTGGGGAAGGTTTTGCACATGTAAGGACAGGGGTATATAGAAACTCCCTGTATTTTCCAATTTATTTTGCTGTAAACCTAAAACTGTTCTTAAAAATGAAGTTCATTAATTTTAAAAAAAATCAAAGTTCTACATGAGGAATCAATATAAAAATGTCAAATATTAACTAGAAAAAACCATTTGTAACACATCACAAATGGATATTTTACTTACTAGATATAATATAGAGTTCTCATCAATCAATTAGCAAAAATCCCAATGCCCAATTAAAAGAGAACAAACATGTACAAAGAGTTGTCAAAAAAAAAAAAAGTAAAAATGGCTCTTAAACAGGACTGTTTTTTAAATGTCTATGAAACCTACCTTAATTATGGTGTTACTGTGGCTATTTTAATACTTTAAATTCTACCAATGGGGTTAAGGTTCAAACCACTTTTATTTTTTATTTATTTTTTTTTTAAATTCTTTTATTCATCAAATTAAATCTTTTTGACTCTGCTTTGGTAGCAGATTTTAAGTTAGGATATGGGGATACAGAGAGGAATGACGAATATCACTGCCCCAGAGGAGCTTGCAATGGAGTCCAGTGCAGACAGGCCAGAAAACAGTTAATACAATTGGGAGTTCTTAGTGCTTCTAGAGGCAACTAATGGATACCTTCGGGTCATAGACATAAAATGGAGAGGGTAGGGTGGGTGACTTAGTGGGAATTTCTCCATGATAATCTGGCCTGGAGTTCAGCACAGGGCTCTAAAGGTGAAGAAAGCAACCATAGTGGCAACTACAATATTCCCTCCTTATCCATAGTTTTGATTTCTTCTTTTTTTTTTAATATATTTTTTATTGATTAAGAAATTACATATGTGTCCTTGTCCCCACGTTACCCTCTACCCCCCCCCGCTCTTGCCCTCCCCCCCCGTTGTCCGTGTCCATTGGTTAGGCCTATATGCCTGCATGTAAGTCCTTTGGTTGCTCTTTCCCCTTTAC